TGACATCAAAGATGAAATTTAGTGGTCTTAAAAATACTCAATATAAACATTAAAACGAAAAAATCAAATTATCTCTTGATTTTTTAGTAGATGAAGCTTGGAGGTCTCATGGGCTCATAGATAGCTTATGAGAGGAAAATTTCCTTCAATTTGGAAAACAAACATTTAAGTAAAGAACCAACAATGTTTTAAATAAAAATTATAAAAACATTAAAAAAAAAAAGACTATGGAGAGGTTAGTTTAAGGAATAATCCCCACCGGAATTAACCTTAAAGCAAGTGCTGGTGAGCTCCGCTAAAGAATTCTAACTTCATTTACTGATTTAAGGCAAATGTATTTCAGATGCCCTTAAACAACTGCCATTTCTAAAATACCTGGTATGGAAAAAAAAAATGGTAAAAGTCCACACTTTCTTGGGACTATGCAGAACACACCTGATGCGACACCTTGTTTGTGTGGGGCTTTCCGTATATCTTCTTGGCGTTCTGTGGAGTTTATCCATTCCTGGGTTTGTCGCTGCCACTCTAGGGAGGTTCTAGCTGGACAATCCAATGAGCTCTTTGTGTCTTCTAAGTTGGATGCATGTTGTCTCTCTAGAGAGTTTCCTTTTCTCTCTGCTGAATTTTCCACGTTACCAGCATGCTGGCTCGGGCCTATTTGCTGCCTTAAACCCTGACCTGGTGGGGGATCTGGTGGTGGTGGAAGATCTAAAAATTTTGAATAATATTTAGAATGTACTAATATTTAATGAAAAATACAGGTTTTAGTTCAAGTTGAAGAAAACATTTGCCCTCATTCAAGTATCACCCATGCAAAATAAATTTGGGGAAAATAAAAGTCAATTATTTATATCCAAAATGCATATTATTGATATCCCTGCTATCTTTTGGCCACAGCATCACTGAAATAAAATTAATGGGTTTTCTTCAACTGTTAAACTTGTAAAGTGTTTTCAATTGTACAATGAGGCTATTATCCAAGGTGTAAAGGGCCGTTTATGATTTATATTCAATCCGTTGTCCAACCCTCCCTCCCCAAAGTAGAAATATCGTGACACAAAATAAGATCACTAGAAATTCTAGAAGCTGTGCTAACAAAAGGCCCCGAGAAGAACAAAAGCTCTCTGCCAATCTCCATAGGAAATGTCACCCTCGGGAAATTAAGAACTATATGCCGTATCATATGCAACATATGACTGCCTTTACCCATGTATGTGGCACATTTAGCAACAGTCAAAGGGTTACGCTAACATTTATTAAATGCAATTAACATTCTGCCTGACAACCAATTCTGGGTGTTCGTTTCATGAGTTAGCTAATGAGTTACAACTAATATATTATAATCTTCCAATGTATTAATTTTAATAAGCAATAACCGATGTTCAGAGTATAGATTGAATATGCTTTATGATGCTAGATTAGACAATGTATCACGGAAATTTGAGATGTACTAGAATAGATAATTTTTCAGAAAAGCTTTGTAAAAAATATCACATATGAAAAAATCAGAAATTCAAATATGAACTAATTATTCATTTTCCTTTTACTAACTCTTCAGATCATGATATATTTATATGTTTCATGTTTTAAATTGTGAAATCATAATCTTTTTTTTACATTTAAGTATATACTAGTTCTGAAATTACTGAAAATTTTGAAATCTTTTGCACATAAATTTGGACCATTTTCTTCCAATTTTTCTTGCATGCTATTGCAAACTTCTTTGTTCAACATTAGGGTGTTGATAATAATACTATTTGTTCATAAAAACCAAGCATTATATAGAATATACATTTATTTCATTAATAGATGATATTATTCATAAAATAGGCAATTATTTCACATGTCCTTTTTGTAAAAGTGTTCTTTTGTTTCTAATCATATTCTCTTTGTGAAATTTAGAAAAGTATAAATTTCTTGTGTAAAAAAGATAGCTTCCTTATTGGAAGGCTAAGCTACTCCTTTTAAAGATTTTCTTTCATGAGCAAAATAATATTATCCTCCATTGAACTGATAATGATGGTCTCCTGAGCATCTGCTCTGAGAGTTCCTAAGTTGGATCAACATTCTCAGTTCTTATGCATGTCCTTATGTAAGATTATGAATTGCTAATTATTGAAGGGAACAAGGTCTCTGGGAGAATAAAGTTGCATTTGGAACATTTCTTCCAAAATAAAGAACTAATCTAATACTGAGATATCTGTTTGTTGGATAATCCAATGAATTTGGTGTGTCCTTCATATTCAATAGTACTGACTTCCTTCACTATACATTATTATAAATGCAAATTAATTATTTCATTGAGTCATTGAACTTAGATTGCCAGTGAGGAGAAATTATTTTATTTGCTTCCAAAATAACCTATCTTGTCATTGATTTTCATTCTCCATCAGAGCAGCTTAATTTTTAAAACGGCCAAAATGGCATTTGCTTATGCCAGCTAAAATTCTGATTACTATTATATTTAATTTAACCTAAAATTATATAGCATCATAATTAAGTAATATCCTTCAAGTTTATATATTTCTAAGAAGAAAAGACATTGCATGCACACTGAAATAAATAAATTGGAAAAAGACATGGAATTAAGAATGGTTATAGAAAAATAAAAGTCTATAATCAAATACATTTACTTAAATTAAATTTATTATTCATTTCTATGTTGATTCATTTCAACTAAATCAATTCACAAGCGTCTCTTAGTGGTCTACTGAGGATTAGTTATTATCTGGCACACAGCAGTCCAATGACATAGGTGCCATTATTATCTTGCCTTTTTAGGTAAGAAGATAGAGGCACAAAGAAATTAAAAATCTCCAGTCTGGATCTCTCCTGTCATGAACTTCAGACTCACTGTGCAGTTCTACCTAGATGTTTAGATTGCTGATAAAATTTCACATATTAAAATTGAGCTTTAGATTGTCCTCTATATAATATGCTACCTCTGTTGTGTTCCTCCTCTCAATTTGTGGCAATTCCATTCTACAAGTTGGCCAAAACTTTGGAATAAATTTTTTATTTTCTTGCTTTATAGCCTCTGTTTAATTTCTTTAACAAATCCTGTTAACTCGAGCTCTAGAATCCAAACTTTCTCATCATTTCCACTGATTCTACCTTGGTATGAACTACCATCATCTGTTCCCTATGTTGCTTTCACAATCTGCTACAAGATCTTTGTGTTTACACTTTTGCCCCAATTTGTGTATCAGAATACAACAGCTAGAATTACTTATATTTTTTAAAAAACATAAATAAGATCATGTTATTCCTCTGCTTTAAACACACATACACAAATATATGCACACATGCACACATGTACAAACACACACACATACACACCCCTCCAGTGGTTGTCCATTCAAAGTAAGTGCCAATGTCATTACAATAGCTTAAAGGTCCTACAAACATTGTCCCTTGTTTGCTTGTCTGACTTCATATTTCAATTGGTTGCTCTCTCTGCTCCAGTCATACTGTTTCCATTCCTTTTTACCAAATAAGCCCCAGGCTTTCCTTTGCTGTTCTCATTTCCTGGAATGCCTTTCTTTATATATCAGCATTATTCTTTCACTTATATTCTTCCAGTCTCTTCTTAAATGTCACCTTCTTGTTGAGGCCTTCCCTAAGCACCTTACATAAAAATATGTCCTCCTTATACCTATACTTCTCAATTTCCTTCCCTTTCTTTTTTGTCCATAGCATTTATCATCATCTTCCTTATATTTTCATTTATGTATTTATGTTGGTCTTTATCTGTCTTCCCCCACTAGAATGTAAGAGGGCAGGGAATTTTGTCTGTTTGGTTCCCATTGTCTATCATATGATATATGCTTAATAAATATTTGAATGAATACATAAATTTGTTCAAAGGCCAAAGCTAGCATGCGGCAGAGCTGGGAAAGAGCCTTTTCTATGAAGAGGGTATAAAGAACTAAGACAAGGGAGCACAGGCTGAAAAGAAATTATCTAGAGAAACAAATCAGTGGGTAGAGAGCTGCCTTGTTTGTTCAGCATTGGTCAGTGTATTGGCTTCAAAGGGTATTCTTTGACTTACTATGCAAGTGGAATAGAAGATGTGGATTCAACAATGCCTGCTTAGGGAAGAATTTATATAAAGGAGAAGAGTGCTCTTTAAAATATGTGTGTGTACCCCCATAATATTCTGAATTTTCTTTTAAAGACATAATACAAAAAATAAAAAAAAATAAAATAAGATGTGTGTGTGTGTTTGCATAGCCTTTAGGATAGAGACTGACGTTTCCCACTATTACCAATTTCTCTTACTGGTCACAGGGAAGATTACTTTCCCACCCCAGTAGTTAATTTGACACCATACGACAGAATTCTTGCCAATAAAATATGAGAAATGATGTACCACTTGCCATTAGAACCTCCCAGTGACCAATCATGTT